CTACAAATACTTCATTTTACCCTCAAATCTTGAGGGATAGTTGAGCTGGGTATAGAATCTTAGCTAGACACCCTCTTCCTCAAAAGAATACTGCTATCTCCCCAGCTTCCACTGTTACTGTTCAGAATTCAGTGCCATACTAATTCCTGACATTTCCTGGAGGTCTCATTTTATCTTAGAAGCTTTTAAGGTTTTCTCTCTGGGATTCTGAACTTTTATGACAATGTGCTTTTTGGTGTGAGTTTTGTTTTGTTTTCTTTTTCATCTGGCATTTTCCATGTTCTTTCAGTTTGAAAGTTCATATCCTTCAGTTTTAGGTGATCTTTTGGGATCATTTCTTTACTTCTCTCCATTTTCTCGGGTCTCTTTTTCTGGACTCTCCAGTTAGTTGTTAGACCTGGATTGATCCCCTCATTTTCTTATCTCTTCTCTACAACTGTCACAGTTTTTTGCAACTTCCTAGAAAATTTCCTTAACTTCTAATCCTTTGACTGAATATTTTACATCAACTATTTTTCTTCCATTTCTACAAATGCGTTTTTGTGTTTTGAGGGTTCTTTGCAAATAACCTCCTGTTCTTTCAGGATGCAATATCTTCTCATATCGCTCTAAGGATAGTAGAGTTTCGCTCTGGTTTTTTGAAGTCTTTTCCTGTCCACTCATTGTCTCTGTTTTCTGAGCTTGCTTATTTCCTGTTTGTTGTTTCAGTCTTTGACTTTTGCATTAGAGGCTCTTGATGCATATTTAATATCAGACACTGGGAGCTGAACCCCATGGGCAGACAGACCCATCTTCTCATGGGCTTTGCTGCAGGAGTTAGCACTGGTCCCAAAGTCACTGTACATCCAAGCATTTCTCTTTGGCTGGAGGGGCTGTGACTTAGCCAGAGGGGTGTGGCCTGGCTGGAGGGGGTGTGGCTTGGCTGGAGGCAAGGTCTGAGTGACAAGGCAAAAGAAATCCCAGGCCTACTCAAGGCAAGCAGTTTTTCCTCCTGACAGCAGTTTCTAGCAGAGAGTGAGCTGAACAAAGTCTCACCAGTAGAGGAAGGTCCTACATGGCCTTCAAGTCCCCAGTTGGGGGAGGGAGGCACCAAAAGAATGTGTGGTCCCAGACTGAACTTGGGTAGAGCAGGGTTGACCCCATGTGTAGTAAGATAGACAGGTACCAGTCCTATCTGTTCTAGGCCCAGCCCAGCTCTTGTCACATTGGGGAAACTGAGGCCACTTAGGTTTAGGTCACTTAGACCTCGTTCCTGTGTCTCCTGTGAACACACCTGGCCAGCCTCGCCCCCTGTCCCCCAGCTTCTGACCCCACTGACCTCCCTGGAGCTCTCCTATAGGGCTTAGGAATTTGGGCTGGAGTCAAAAGTTCCCAGGGGGATTTTAGGATCTCTTCCAGCTTGGTCCCCCGGGGACATCCACCCTGCACCTGCTCCCTGCTGTGGACCCATCTCCAAGGCCTCTCCCAGAGGGGGCTGAGTGTTTGGGGGCAGGGACCACCTGTGTGCCCTGGGTCTCCCCTATCAGGGTCTTATGGCCCCCATCTCACAGCAGACTCACTCGGCCTCTCAATTTCTCTGCAGTCGGCAAGGCTCCCCTTCAGGCCCAGGCCTGGGTGGGGGTGGTCAGCCTCACTTGGGAGCTGGGTCCTGAAGGCTGGATACAGAGCCATCAGCAGTGGGCGTGCTGGCCAAAGGCAGATGGCAGCTGGATTAGCAGGTGTACCGTCCTGCAGTGGGGGGACGGTGCCCAGTGGTGAGAGCTGGAGGGCAAGGGCACCAGAAGCAGGGTCCTGAGGCCCTTGGAGCTGATCCAGTACTGACCCCTTCTACAGCTGAGAAAACTGAGGGGCAGAGAGGTCAGATGAGCTCGTCTCCAGCCTCACAGTGAGTTAGCGGCCTTTTAGTTCTCTTTCTACTGACAGCACCAAGTGGTGAGTCCCTCCCTCTTTCTCACACCGCCCACCCCCCCCCCGTTTGCCTGGAACACCCACACTTTGGTACACACAGATTGGCAAAGAGTTCCAGGCACGCTTTCCCGCATCTGAGAGACCAGGAATGTGCTGCGGCTCGGGCGCTCGTGGGCCCGTGTGTGCTAGGGAAGGGGGGCCCGGGATCATGGGAACTTCCGAATCTCGGGAAGTGAGAGTCTTCCTCTTAGCGAGGGGAAACCAAGGCCCAGAGCCAGCAGGCAGGGCCTGGTCCGCGGTCCGTACCAGTCAGCACCCTTGGGGCCATTTCTCTGTCCCCACCGCTCCCATGAATCATTAGAAAAATTTAAACAAACATAATATAATTGCTTGTCGATGACAGAAAGCCGGGGGAACTGTAAAACCCGGCTGGTCTCAGCACTTGCCCAGGCAGGTGGCACAGGGAGGCCGAGCTGGCAGCCTCAGCCCTGCCTGCTGGCTGGGCCTCCCGGGCCTCTCTGTGGCTAGAGAACTGGAACCCCCTTGCCCCCGCCCCCACCTCCACACCGTGCCTGCTGCCAGCCAAGCCTCACCTCACCGGCCAAGCAGGGTGCCCAGTGCCAGAGCAAACTGGGCCCAGGCCCAGCACACTTTCCAGAAATAGGTTCCTGTGAGAGCCCGAGGCTCACCCCTCCCTCTGCAGAACTTCCCCCCTGCAGAGAGTCCTGTTTGTGGCCTCAGACCCTGGAAATGCTCTGTTTGGGTCCCCTAAATGCCTCAGGAATGTTCGGGATGAGAGGGTGGTAGGGGAGGTGCCAGGGGGAGGGTAAAGTAGGTGGGTAAAGGTTCGGGGAGGTGATGATTGGACGGGTGGGTAGATAGATGGGGTTGGGGTAGTGAGTGGACAGGTGGGACCCCACTTGTTTCGATCTCTGTCTTTCCATTAAAGGCTTCCTGTAAGGCTCAGGAATCCTGAGCTCTGTTTTTTAGAGAGAAGGAGGGTCTGTGGTTTTTAGAGAGAAGGAGGGTCTGTGGTTTGGCCTTGTTGATGGGGCGCCTTGGAAGACCCTGCCGTTTCAGTGTAGGCACCCGTGGGCCTGTCCCCTCAGTCATGTCCCAGTCCCCAGAGAGCACCCCTCACCTCTCCTGCCTGGTGCTGGGCCGGCCTCAGGGGAGCCTGGAGGCTCTGATGTCCTCTTCCCAGGTTGGACTGGGCTGCAGGATGTTTATTGGCCTCATCTGCTGAGAATTCTCCTCTGCCCTTCTCTTTGCTTTGCGGGTTTTTATCCCCTTCTCTTTCTTCACCACCCTTTCCTGGGAGAACCGAGGAAGAAACACAGGGTACAGCCCCCCCAACCCCTGTTTAAGCAGAAAACCCGCCCCCTCTCTCCCGGATGTTTTGTGAAGTCCTCGCCTGCCCCAGTCATGAAACTGTATACATTCCCCTAGTTGTTTGGAAGTTTCAGTGTTTGTACCTCGGTCTCTAATCTGTTTTATATATTGGGGTTATGGACAAGGCTTTATTGAAAAGAGTTCTGTTCTTAAAAAACGCTTATAAACCACTGACTGGGCCCAGTCTAGGGGAGCTGGGGAGGGAGATGGGGGTGGGCGGAGCCTCGGGCAGCCCACGTCTTGTAAACCCAATCAGGGACTGGCGAGCAGACGGCCCCATGTCAGCAACCCCTGCCCCAAGGCTGGGCCTCCCACCCCTGGGGAGGACACAGCCCGAACCCTGGTCCTAAGCCCCCTGGGCGTCCCCTACGTGTCTCGCAGAGGAATCACCACAGTAACTTAGGACATTAATGGGGGATTTGTTTTCTGAGATGAAGTTGGGGGACCTCTTATGGGACAGGGGAAGCCAGTAGTGGGGGGCAGGTATGGACGCCGCTGGTAAGCTTCAGGCCTCACTGTGGTCACGGGGGCCACCGATGGGCAGCCCCAGCACAGCAACTGGGACCTGCCGAGTTACCCTCACACCTCAGTGTGTCTCTTTGGCCCAGACTGAGGTTCCTGGAAGGTCAGACTTTGAACTGAGTGAGCGATTTAGGCATCCCTTGACTTCTGCAGCAATAAAAGCTCTGGAGAACAGCTTTGAACGTCTGTTTCCTCTTTAAACAGTCCCAGTCCCTGGGGCAGACAGACATAAATAGATAATTATAGCCCAGGGACATGTGGGCCTGGGGGGTTCACCATTACCAGTCTCCTAACTGGCCTTCCGGCTTCCATCCCTCCCACACACGCCCACGGAACTCGCAGCTGCCAGAGTGAGCTTTTCAAAATGCAGATCTGACCTTGACTTTCAGCCCCTCCGAGAGCTGCCCACTGGCCTCAGGACGTTGCCCCAGAGCCCCTCCTGCCAGCCCTCCAGTGTTAGGTCCCAGCCCACTGCTCCAGTCCCGGGTGTGTGTGGGGTGGGGGGTGGGGGGGCTGGGTCTGCTCTGATTCGGCCAGACTGATTCCAGACCCTTCTCTGGTCTTGCTTGTCTCTAGACCTCAGCCCTCTTACCTCAGGAGGCTATCATATGGTGCATCTCTCAGGCCTCACCTTAGACGCCCCCGCCTCCAGGATGTCCTCCCTGACCACCACCTCCCCCACCCCAAACTGGCATTGCTGTCCCCTGTGATGCCCTTTTGCACATCTTATTCTTACAGCCCTGGTGTAGCCCCTACAGCCTCTACCTATTTGCCCATCTCCCTCCCCAGACTGACGTTCTCAAAGGCAGGGAGCATGCCCTTTACCACATGTAATCAATTACTGGGTTTTTTTGAGCCCTTCCTTTGTGCCAGGCACTGAGATCTGTGGGTAAATAAAATAGACAAAGATCCTATGTTTATGGCACTCATAGGCTGACTGGGCACCTGGGGTGCTGACTTGGACACTTTGCTGAATAATGTGCTGTGGGTGCTCCGAGGTCAGGTGGGCTGCCTGGAGGAGGGGGCACCAAGGATAAGGATGAGGTCCTGAAGGCTGGGTAGGAGTTTTCCAGGCAAATTGATCAGAGAGCTCCCTGCCTGCCCGCCCAGAGGCTGTCCTGGCAGCTGGCTGCTCTCACCCCCAGGGTCTACACTCTAAACTCACCCTTCTCTTTCAGAATGCATGAACTGTACCCGGCTCAGTGACATGAGTGAGCGGCTAACCACGCTGGAGGCCAAGGTCAGACGGCTGGGGGGCCCGGCTCCGGGAGCTGGTGGGTGTGTGCGAGGGTTGTACATCGGTACCAACCCAGTCCTAGGGAGCCCAGCAGGCCCGAGCAGCCTGGTCCCAGGGCTTGGGTGCTGCTGGGGCTTCTGTGGCTCTGGGTGGCCTTCTCTGGGCTGGGCCAGCCCCCTGGGGAGGGGAAAGCAAGAAATCTGGAGGTCTCAGACAGCAGGCTGGTTATGTGTCTCATATGTGACACATATCTCATATGTGACACATATCTGGATCTGTGTCTCAGTGACTGGGGGGCTGGATGCCCAGAAGGTGACCCCTTGGTGGAATGGGCCACCGTCCCCAACTCTGGCTTCTCCTTTCCCTCCCTGTCTGGCACACGGTGGGGCCCAGACAATGGAGAAGGAGCTCCTGGCTCCTGTCAGCTTTTGCCCTGTCTACATTAGGGGGCACAGCAGGGCACCCCGAGGCTGGAGGACTGAAGAAATGATGAGTCATTTATGGGGGGTAGCCCCAGGCAGAATGGGGTGAGGAGGGAGGGAGTAAGTCAGAGAAGGGGAAAGCTGTGTGAGGTGCAGGGGTGGTGATGGGCGGGTCACCCTTGTGGACACCGGCGACTCTGTCCCCTCTGGTCCCTCTGAGGTGTCCCAGAGCAGGCCTGGGTCCGAGCTACAGGGCCGTATCTACCGTCCCTCAGTGGGAGACACTTCTCCCAGGCTGTGTCCCCTGTCACCTCATGTCCCATGCCTCACGTATTGACTAAAATTGCTCCTGGGCCCTGGAGAAGGCCCCGGTGGAGGGTCTCGGGTCCCTGCAGGAAGAAGCCAGTGCCATGGGGGCCGTGGGCTCTGCCCTGACCGGCGACAAGTCACATTCTCCTTCATGTCCCAGGCGTCTGGCAGAGGACAAGCCTGGGAGCCGAAGCTGCCCTACCTTTACCTCTTGGGACTAGGGACTGCCTGGCCCAGGACAGATCATCCGGGTGTGGGAGGCAGGTGGGAGGGTGGCCTGCCAGTGGGGAGGTCTGGTGGGGACAGAGCGCTGACATGGGCTGAGAGACCCCCGTGGCCAGACCACAGAGTAGGCCCAGAGGTAGGGCCCCCTGCCCAGAAAAGCCTGACAGGCAGGTCTTCCCACAGACACATACCCATCCACACACACACAGCCCCACAGACACACACAGACACACACACACATGCACACATATATACACACACGTAGACACACGCACACACGTGCACATATATGCATATACACAGAGACACACAGATGCCCTCGCAGACACGCATGGACACACAGACACACACACACAGCCCTTGCAAACCCTTCCTCCCCCTTGAGCCCTGTCTCCTGCCCTGGAAGCCCGACCCTGAGGGCGTGCCCTTTTGGATGGGGGCTGCAGATGACTGTCCCTTGGAGTCAGACATCAGTGGGACCGCCACCCCCCCAGCTAGGTGAGTCTTGCCCGAGCTCCTACCTCCTTATCTGGGCAATGTGCTGGTCCAGGTCAAGGGCATCTGGGGCCTCACACAACATGGCAGTGGGACCCGGCTTTGGGAACAGGTGGAGTGCCGGACAGGCGAGAAGCTCTGTGTCGCTCTGTCAGCCAGGCTGCCATCTCTATCTTACAGGCAGAGGCACAGGCGTGTAGGAGATGCCCGTGCAGAGGCCCCAGCATGAGAAACCCCAGGGGGTGAATGATCCTCCCTCATCCCGAGGTCTTCTGCAGGTGGGAGGGTCCCCTAGCAGCCCACGTCTGGGCACAGGCTGCGAGCAAGGGTTCCTATACCCTCCTTGGGGTCCGTGGTTCTGCGGGGGCAGGTGGAAGCCTTTGGGAAACAGATTCTACCACCTGGGCCAAGCTTGGGGCTGGGGAAGCCCTGGGAGGCTGGGGGGCACTGCATGGGACACTGGTCCCAGTGCCTCCTTGCTGGGTGACATTGGACAAGTCACTAATGGTCTCTGGGCCTCTGTTTCCACCTCTGCCTGTGATGTGGCTGCGGTGACCCTTCCTGCCCCGGGCTGGGCGGGGGGGGTGCTTGTAAGGACCAGAATGGGGCTGGCTCAGAGAAGTGGCGCTGGGGGAGGTCGCTGGAGCCTCACAGGGCCCACTGGCCCGCTGCAGATGGGAACGCTGAGAGGGGGTGCATGGGCGATGGTGCAGGGGCTGGGGGCACACCCAGGAGGGGACACCCTCAGTCCACAGGGTCAGGCAGACTGCTGGGGACGGGGGTGGGGGGATCCCTGGAGTCTCAGGATCCTCTGGGGCGCAGGAATGAAGGGAGGGGCTTGGCGGGGGTGGGCGGGAAGTCTCAGGGTGGGAGGGGCCCTGGGTGTACCCAGGGGCAGGGCAAAGCCACTGAGCCCCAGGAGGAGCAGAGCAGGTCCAGAAGGACGCGCTGAGTGTGGGGACACTGGTGGTTTGGGGCGGGCTCCGCAGGGTTCACTTTGCTTGGAGTCCTGACCCCCTGCTCTGGGGAAGGGGGCAGCCAGGTCCTATGGGAGCACTGGGCAAGCCAAGGGACCCTGGGAGAAGCCAGGGGGAGGCCAAATGCAAGGCCTGGCCCTCGTGGATGTGGGGCGGGGGAGTCGGGGACTCTAGCCGATGGGGGGGTTCTGGCTCCCCAGAGCTGGGGGGAACCCGAGACACCGGCCTTCCTCTCCTTCAGGCAGCAGAGCGCAAAGACTAGGGGCTCGCGGTGGCCGGAGCACTTGTCCACCTGGCCCGGGGAGTCCTCTCTGCCTGGGTAGGCCTACCCAGGGTCTGCGCACCCATCAGGCTGCCTTGCTCGGATCCCTGGTGCAGAGCGCCCCCTGCTGACCTCTTTGGGGAACAGCAGAGACTCACGGGGGCCTCTGAGGCCTGACTTCCAGCTCACCTGCGTTAGGGAGACCGTGTTCCCGCCCAGGACCGGGGTCTTCCCAGGCTTTGATGCCCCAGCTCTCTCAAGGGGAGAAGACAGGGCGGCTTTCTACGATGACCCCACGTGGCCACCTTTTGTTTTCCCAGAGCTCCTGCTAAAAACCACGCCCCAAGCCAGGCCCATTGGTATCTTTTCAGTCCCTTCTTTGGGGGAAGCTGGGGCAGGGGTGGGGGGGTGACCACAGGGCTCTCCTCACGGTGATGACCCCTCCAGAAGAAGAGTACAGGGAGTTTGAAAGTGTCCCTGTGACAACCTGCTCGAGCCCCAGGTCCGAGGTCTCTCCTGACACAGGAACGAGAGGAGGGCAGGGGTAGGGGGAACATTCCAACAAGGGGCTGGTGATCACCCATACCTGGCTTTGGGGAGCTGCAGGTCTCATGGGGCACACATCCCCAGTGCACAGCGGTCTCTGGCCTGCCCCGGGTCCTGACCCTCTGCCCTTTCCCGGCCCAGGTTCTCCTGCTGGAAGCCGCAGAGCAGCCCGCAGGCCCGGGCAATGACCTGCCGGTCCCCCCGAGCACCGTCCCACCCTGGAATGAGGACTTCCTCCCAGATGCCATCCCCCTCGCCCACCCAGGGCCCCGAAGGAGAAGGCCCACGGGCCCAGCTGGTGAGTGAGACCTGCCCCAGAGGCCCTTGGGATCAAGCGTTGAAAAACGGAGCTAACATTTCAAAACTGTAGGCTTTCGAAAGAAAATCAGGAGTTCTAGAAACTTCTCTTAGAAACATAGAAGCTCTGGCCACTGGGGCTTCAGCCTCCCCTTGGAAACCATTGGCTGGAGCTCTGCACCCGCAGACCCCATCCGGACTGTTACAGGGCCTTACCCTTCCACGTTGTCCCTCAGTTGGGTGTGTGTCCTCCTGCCCTGCCCTGAAGCCAACCTGCGCTCAGGCCCCCAGCCCAGCCCCAGCCTTCTGGCTCAGTTTTACCAGGAGCTTTCTGCCTCCCACCACCTTCTGGTCCGTGCTGTGCTAGTTCATAAATACTTTTGTATCACCTTCAGCTGCACAGAAATGCTCTCTAATCATTCCAGTAAGTTTGTAATGCTTGGGGTTCCAGCAAGGATTGGAGAAATGACCCCTGGGGTCAGCCCGTGATCCAGGAGCCTATGGTCTCGATAATTCTTGGCCCCACGAGAGCCCTGTGCAGGGGACACTCTCCCTCCCTGGCCTCTCTCACAGCTGAGCCCTCAGCTTCCAGACTCCGCTCTGAGCTCACACCCTGTCCCCTCCTCACCTCTTCTGCTTGTCCAGTCGGGAGAGGGAGCAGAGCAGGGAGGGCACAGCCCCCAGCAGTGGGAGCACCCAGTGGCCAGTCCTGGGGGGAGCAGACACTCTGTGATTTTCTGTGGGGGCGGGGGGCTGGAGGCTTTGGGGGGAGGAGGGAACTCACGCGTTGGGGGGAACATCTCATTCTGGGTCCCTGGCCCACTTCCCAGGGTTTCATACCCAGGCAGCTGCCCCTGCCTGCCTTCTTCCAAATCCTTCTTCTGGAACTGAGGAGGAGGAAGACCCAGGACCCAAATGCCCTGTGGGGGAGCCTGGGGTGGGTGCTGGGTCTCCCGGGTCACTTTCTCTGTGCAAGGAGAAGTGCAGTTCCAAGAAATGGCCACCAGGTGGAACACAAACCCAACAAATGGTGACCCCAGGGTGCGCCCTGGAATCTGAGAGCAGGATTTCCTGGGGTCTCCAAGGAGGCCTCACTGGGGAGCTCTTTACCATAGGCACTGTTCCCAACCCTGAGCGGGGAGACAGTAGGACTCTGGAGGAAGGGGCCTAACCCAGCAGCAGCCTGGCTCTGGGTCCTTGAACAAGGGACCACACCTTCCTGAGCCTCAGTTTCCCCACCTGTGAAATGGGAACACAAGTAGCTGCTGAGATCGTAGGAGTTAATAGGTACAACAGTGGTTCTTAGACTGTAATGAGGTCTCTGCTCCTGGGAAATGGCCCAGGGGGTCAGGCCTGGTGGCTTGGCCCCCAACGTCCTCAGAACTCATCTCATTCTCTCCCCAGGGCCTCCGGGGCAGACGGGACCGCCAGGGCCTGCAGGTCCCCCAGGCTCCAAAGGTGACCGGGGCCAGGCAGGAGAGAAGGGCCCAGCAGGGCCTCCTGGTAAGGACCCCCGGATCTGACTTTGTCCGCTGGGGGACGGGGCTGGGGTTCCTCCCCTATCTGAGCAGGTGAGGCATCCCATAAGCCCTGATCTTGCTGGGGTCAGTGACTGCTATCCTGGGGGGCTCTGGGCTCACTTCCTCCCCACTGCCACCCCCCATCACTGCCACCCCATCCCAAAGGTTTTAGGGTCTGGTCTGACCCTGGGCTGCAGGAAGAACAAAAGGCTCTGGGAGTTGGGGGGTACAGGCAAGGGGTGTGGGACAGCTGAGGCCTGGGGACCCTTCTTAGCCATTTAAACCCCTCCAGAGCCCCCCCCCCCCCCCCATCTCCTCCTGGGTCTTGCAGGGAAGATACAGGTCCTGTGACGGTAGGTGTAGGGCTGGCCCGGGTTGTCTGGCACTCTCGGTGCCCCAACCCCAGAGCTGAGGCCCCTGGAGGGAGCCAGCCTACCTCCCTCACCTCCCACCCAGCAGCCCCAGTGCTCCCCAGGCCCGAAGGGAAAGCCACGTTCACTCACATCCCAGGACAGCCCCCCCAGGGAGGCTAGTCTGGCAGCCACTGCTGACCTGCTTGCCATCTGCGGTGTCCGTCGCCAGGCCCGGCCCTCACGGGGTTCCTCTTTTCCCACTGCAGGCCACTTGGGGCCACCAGGGCCCCGCGGGCTTCCTGGAGAGACGGGGCGCCCCGGGCCCCCCGGCCCCCCCGGCCCAGCAGGCAGCCCGGGCTTCCCTCCAAACAGCCCTCAAGGGGTCCTCTACTCCCTGCAGCCGCCGACGGACAAGGGCGGTGAGTACTCCCGGCCGAGAGACCCTGGGGAAGCAGACCCTTAGGGAGCTGGGCAGCGGCCTGGGAGCAGGGCTGTGCTGGGGGTGGTGGGGTGGTGGAAGGGTCCTTAGCCTCCAGCCTGGCCTGTCCCTGCCTTGGTGCCCAGCTCCTGCCCCTGGGGTCCTGACCCCCTCCCCAATGTCACTCTGTTGTGTGGCCAGCCTCAGTTTCCCCACTTGGTGGCGGGAGCACATCCCCTCACGAATCCCCTGACCTTGGATTGTGTGACAAGTGTTGGTTGAGCACCTACTATGTGTCGTCACATGGTTTGTGTCACTGGGGGCACAGCCGTGAGGAAAACAGACTCCAGCCCTCCGGGGCCAAAGTCTGGGGTTTCTGAACCCAGACACACCTGCCTACCCAGTGGGGTGGGCGGGAGCAGGGAGGCCCGGAGGGTGGGGGGGCCACCAAAGGGGTATCCTCTGGTTAAGTGCCCCGGGGAACCGGGGGAGGGTTTTAAGAAGCGGGTGACAGGGTTGGATGACATCCCAAGCACCGTGGGGGACAGGGACCTCTTTGTCTGGGTCAGAGAAACTCTGGCCCCCTCCTGCTGGTGCTTCTGTCCCTGTCTGAGCCTCAGTTTCCCCACTTGTAGAGTGGGGGCAGTTAATACTCCCAGTAGAGTTGCTCTGGTGGAAGGGAGGGACTCATTCTTGAGCAGAATGGGGGTCCTGGGCTGCCCCCAGTGGGTGCAGGGGCCCAGCCTGTGAGAGCAGAGCCTTCTGGAGCAAGTGGGGACTCATTGAAGACTCAGAGAGAGAGCAGGGCTCGGCTGCACACGCCCCAGGGCCACAGGGAGCCATCCCAGGGCTCCAGCCTGCCCTGGTCACGATGCCTCAGGCACTGCCTGCCATCCAGAGCCCTCAGAGCCCTCCTCAGATGGGACCCTCCTCACCAGCTTTTGGGGTCCCTGAGGGAGTGCCGGGTGTGTGCCTGGGAAGGAGTGGGGATGCCCTACTGGGTCCCCATCTGCTGTGAGCCCCTGGAAGTGTGGTCTCGGCTTCCGGGTGTGAAGGGAAGGGCAGGGGTAGCCACTCCCATCCCAGGCATTTCCTGGCCTGGCTTCTCTGGGTCTGGCTCTGGGGTTCGGGCAGGACGAAGTCACAGGGGGCTTGCCTTGGAGAGACCCAAATAGCAGGAACTGGGTCAATAAGGGACCCCACCCGTGCCCCAGGCTGAGTAATGGGCACTATAGAGGCAGCCCAGGGCCTTGCAGCTCAAAGGACTGGCAGGGAGGCCTTCCTGGAGGAGGAGGCCCCACTGGAGTGAGCCTGTCAGGTGCATCAAGAAAGGGCCTGTAGAGTGGAGTGGGGGGAAGGGGAGGAGAGTTCTGGCCGGGGAACTGGGGAGGTAAGTAGGGCAGGGACAGACTGTGAAGGGCTGGAATACTCTGGAAGGAGTTTGTGCGTTATATGAACCCCTCTGGGCTTCCCCTGCCCTTCGACCTGAGCTCTGCGGGAGCAAGAGTGTGTGCTTGCCAGGGCTGCTGTGAGGCCCAGTGGAGTCGGGGGTGCCTGTCCTGGCCCTGGGGAAGCTCAGGTCCTGCACCTGGCCTTGCCCACCGGGTCACAGGCGACTGCTCTGCCTGCAGACAGAGACTCACAGCTGGCCTCGGCTGCCGTGGACACAGTGCTGGCTGGCGTCCCGGGGCCCCGGGGCCCCCCTGGCCCTCCAGGTAAGTGCAGAGGGCAGTTGCACAGCCTGGTCTGCATGGGGCACCTGCTCTGGGCTTGGCCTGCGCCAAGGGGCCTTGTGTTCCCGGCTGGGGAACCATGGCCTTGGCAGGATACTGGGGATTGGGCAAGGTCCCTTGTTTCTGGAGGACAGCACCCTGGTGGGACTAGACACAGGAGCCCCAAATGTTTCTGCCTGCTGCCTGCATGAAGCCACTCGGGGCTGCCCCCTTGTGGGCCTGAGTGGGGGTTGCGCCAGGGTACGTGGAGGCCCAGGTCCAGGGGGACGCACCGGGTGAGCACAGGGCTGGCGCCAGGGGCTGGTAGGGCAGGTGCGGGGCCTTTTGGCAGAAACCAGGGGCCCTGGGGCAGGGGATGGTCCTGGGGTTCTAAGGGGCTGGATCCTGGGCCTGGCCTGATCCCCACCCTCCAGGGACCCTTGCTGGAGGGGAGAGAAGGGGAGTGCGGGGCAGGGGCCAGCCCTGCTCACCAAGTATGTGGGTGCCTTGTCCCCCCATTATTCATTTACCCCTTTCACGTAGTCACTGCTCCCTATGTGGCACAGGGCTCTAGTTTCCAGGCCTCTTTTAAAAGGTAGCATTTGAGCAAATGCCCCACAGAGGTGAGGGGACCGGACTAGAGCAGGGGTGGGGTAAGTGCCGGAAGGCTTTCTGGAGGAGGTGATGCTCAGCCTGAGACCAGTAGGAAAGAATTAGTTGGGCTGTGGAGGGGATGGAGAAGCTCCAGAAGGAAGGAACAGCCCTTTCACAAGCGCAGAGGCCAAGGAGCTTTCCAGGAGGGTAGCTGGGGGCATGTGGGGGGAGGGGGCCCGGCTGAGAGCTTCAGGAACCCCGGAAGGGCCCCAACTGAAGGTGGCTTTGGGTGGCCGCGAGCGTGGATGGTCAGGACGCTGTTATAGTAGCTCAGGCAAGAAGGATAGCCTTGGAGGGGTAGGGACCCAGGAGGGTCCCCCCGGACAAGGGGCAGCCCTGAGAGAGATTTGCTGGGAGACTGGCTGGCTGGGGGGGGGCGGCGCAGGGTGGCCCCATGGATGAGGCTCTGGGGGAAGAGTGGGTTGCAAGATAAGGCAGGCAGGGGGCTGGCCCCAGGTGATCATCTGTGACTCTGTCCACAGGTCCCCCTGGACCACACGGTCCCCCAGGACCCCCAGGTGTCCCTGGATCGCAGGTAAGGGCTTTCCCATTTCTGGCAGGGGAGGAGGACTTGTCTCCCTGGGAAGGAAGAGCCAGCCTTCTTTCCCAGCCTGAGCTGCTCGGGAAGGGGCGGCCCAGCTGGCCCCTTGGCCACTTGGCTCGGGCAGGACCCGGATCTCATCAGCAGCTTCAGCCCTGTGCTGCCCACCGCCATCCCAGGGAGGCGTGGGCACCCTTCCCATCTCAGAGATGAGCTCACTGAGACCCAGAGAGGCCAGGTGCCTCCAGAGGACATACAGATCACAGAATGTCCACCCCAGCCTATAGCCCTCGTCACCAAGAGTTACCCACATGTTGTCACCAGATGCCTTCAGCTGCCCCAGCCCACAGGCATAGGGAGAGTTAGGAACGATGAGATTCAGAACCCTTCCCCACCTGTTTGTGCCAGCGGCTTTCCGAGATAACGTTATCATGGTATCCCAGCCGTGATGGGGAAGGGGGGGCTCAGAGGGGATCAGTCACCTGCCCAGAGTCACACAGCAGGAGAACGGGCAGGGGTGGGGCCCCTCTCGGGCTTTGTCCAGCCCTCACCAAGAATGTGGTGGGTGCTTGGGGATTGCCTTATCCTGTCAGGATGTCTCTTAGCAGGGTCTTGGGCCCTTGGGGGAGAGGGAAGGGACTCAGGGCATGACACACATGCAGAGGTGACACTTCAGCTGGGACCTAACGAACCAGAAGGAGCAGCTGTGCAAAGATGCCAAGAAAGGACAATCCTGGCAGCCAGAAGAGCGAGTGCAAAGGCCCTGGGGTAGAAGAAAGCCCAGGACAGACTGAGGGAAGGAGAATGAGATGTGAGATGAGGTGGGGGCAGGGTCTGACCGGAGGGGCAGATTGTGGTTTTCTGTCACAGAGAAAGGGGACTCTGAGTCTCCCGGAAGGAGAGCCCATGATCTGATTTCCATCTTTAAGAGGCCCCTCACGCTCGGGCTGGGGCTGCTGTGGGAGAACGGAAGGCTGAAGGTGGGGGAGCAGTGGGGCAGGGAGACCAAGGAAGCGTGAGGGGGAGAGAGAGAAGGTGACTTACATTCAGGTGGTTGTACAGGAAGCCACAAAGGGAAGGGACAGGTTTAGAAAGTGGGTGTGATGGGTCTGGCGGATGGAACAGATTTGGCAAGAGAAGGAAAGGAAGGTTATCTCCCGGGCGTGTGTGGGAGCCGCTGGGAGGACAGGGAGCTATCTCCCGGGAGGTGGTTGCAGAATGCAGCAGGTTTGGGGGTACCCAGGATTCTCAGGGGAAGTGGAGTGGGGCGTCCCCCTGTGGGCAGGTGGGAAAGTGGGACGGTGGCTGGACACGTGGGTCTGGGCTCTGGGGAGCCTTCCGGCTAGATTTCAGCATGGATGAGAGGCCTTGAGTGGGACCCCCATCATTCATTCTCTGGGGGGGCCCTTTGTGGGGGGGGGAGCCTGCGGGCTTTGCCATCTGTGCAGGCTCTGTGTGACAACCGTAATGGCCTATTTCTCAGCTGAGAAGACTGAGGTCCCTGCCCAGGCTCAGGGAGGAGCTAGTGGAGGGTGGCCCAGGAGGCGCCGTCCCATCTCCTCCACTCTGTCCTCCTCCCGTCCTGGGGCGGGGCGGCTGAGGGGGAGACAGAGGCATTAGGGGGGCAGGCAAGGCCTCATCTGCTTTCTCTGCCTTTCTGCAGGGCCTGGCCGGAGAGCGGGGTGTGACGGGACCGGCTGTAAGTGGGGGGCTGTGCCGCTGGGCTGTTCCTAGGGTGGTGGGCTTTGGTGCAAGCCCAGGGCACCGGATAGGTGGGGCGGGAGCTCTGTCCCGGCCTGGCCTGGGCTCAGCCCCACAGCCACCCCTAACGTGGCCTGATTCTACCCTGCCCAGAGAAGGGGAAGCCTTCCTGTGATCCCAGCTGCCCGAGCTGGTAAAGGGGTGCCCTTGGAAAGTGGGGAGCCCCTCACTGGGAGTGTGAGCAACGACTAAATTAGCCTCCTGGTAGGGGATTGGATGCATGTCCTCCGGTCTTCTGGGGAGCTCAGACCCTCGAGTTAGCATGCTATGTGGCCTGCGGAGGCCCTCCCTCCTCTGAACCTCCCAGAAGTAGAGGCCCAGACAGCTGGCCTCAAATTTCCCTCCTTGGAAGTAAGAATTTATGAATCCCCACTCCTGCCTGCAGGGCCAAGGAGGCAGGCGCCTCCTCGGTGCCCAGGTCTAAGTTAGGGGCAGAGAGCCTGGGAGGAGGGACGGAGCTTTGCCGAGCACCTCCCATGTGCTGGGAGGGGCTGTGCTTTTTGCCCACAGTGAGTTTAAGCTTAGTTATGACCCAGCAAGCCAGGACTTTATTTTCCCCATTTTTTGGAAAACTGGCAGCTAAGGCTCAGAGAGGTTAAGTGACTTGCCCAAGATCACACAGCGAGGCAATGATGGAGCCAAGTAAACCCAGCAGTGTTAGCCTCCAAAGCCATGGCACGTCCTGGCTTCTGTCTGGTAACAATGCTGAGTCCAGAATTTCGGGCACCAGGCTCCCGTCAGAGCTCATTGTAAGTATTGATTTATTTAGTCTGAATCCTCCTGGGAGGTAGGCGGTGTTACCCCGTTTTAGAGAGGAGAACACAGAGGCACAGAGAGGTCAGGTAACCTGCTGAAGGTCACACTGCATACAATGTGGGGGTTAGTGTGAGGCCGGTATTGCTGGCCTTGTTTTAGAGGTGGAAGCAGAGAGAAACAGGGACTTGGTCCCTGGCCGAGCTGAGACCTGAGCTTGTGGGGTGTCAGGCCTCAAGCACAGTGAAGCCCCCAAGCCAACCCACACGGGGGCCATGCACGGATGCCTGGGGCTTCAGGTGCTCCCCTGCTCTGCCCACCCCAGGGCAGCGGTGCCCGTGGAGGCAGCTGTCCAGCTCTGGGCCCCAGCACCCCTGTCCCCAGGCTCTGCCTGCCCAGCCTGCCCTCCCACCCTCTGGCCCCCGCGATCTGTGCGAGAAGCACAGAGGTGGCCCCACTACACGCCCCCACACACAGATTGTTGACTGCAGGGTTTTCTTCCTAGGGCGAGCCTGGCGGGAAGGGGCACGAAGAGGACAAAGCTGCTGCAGAGGTAACCGGTTCTGGGGGCCAAGCTCCCCTCCTGCCCCCTTGGCTGCGTCCCAGTGGGAGGGCGGGTGCCCGGCAGGTCTGCGCGGACACCCCTCAGCCTCACATAGGGCGCCAGGCCACGGGGTGAAGGGGGGTCCCTGCCCGGCGGGGGAGGCTGGTGAGTGACATAATGATTGCAGCTTAGCGTGCAGATAGGGAACTGGCCCGGGGCTGGAGGAGAGGGGAGACACTGCCGGGGAGAACCCCTTATTTAAGGAGGCTACAGCTGCCAAGTCCCTCTCCAGGGACAGGAATCCCCCATGTGCGGTGCCTGGTCCGTGGCAGTGCCCCCAGCGTCACTGCGCTGGTGGACTGAAGGACACGTGGGGACGTAGACCGAGGGCTGGTGGATGTGGGAGGGAATGGGGGGGCAGGGAGTGAGGATGGGAGCAGGCAGGGGCACAGTGGGGTGGGGAGGGGACACAGATGGAATACGGGCATGGCCGTGGGGACCCGCTGTCTTCTGGGAGGAGGAGGGATTCTAGAGACTTAGGTGATGGGTAAAGGGGGTGAGGGCAGTGGGGCTGGCAGAGGAGAACTTGCAGGCTGACAGCAAGAATCCCCAGGGTGTGTCAGAGCTCAGGGAGTGGCCAGCCACAGTGGGCATCTAGGGTTCTCTGATGAGCCACCCTGGGGGTAACTGGGGAGGTGGGCTGGGATGGAGTGGGGAGGCTAGAGCCAGAGCAGCTATGGTGGGCACAGGAGGCAGCAGGAGAAAGATGTGCTACAGGCATGGGCCCAGAGTCGCAGGGAGATTCGCAGACTTGCAAAGGGAGACAGAAACAGTGCTTAGGATGTCACTCTTTGCCGGGGCTCAGGGGCTTGGGGCTGGGCTGGGGCTCTGGACCCCCATCCCAGACACTACCCCCAGTGTGGCTTCTTGTGGCCTTTGCTTCCCTGGGGGGAAGACCTCTCTCCTTAAACTATAGGACACTTTTTGCTTTCTTTTTTTTATTTTGCTTTTTTTTTTTAAAGTGGGTTCCATCCCTAGTGTGGAGCCCATCTCAGGACTTGAACTCACGACCCTGAGATCAAGACCTAATCTGAGATCAAGAGTCAGACGCTTCACTGTTGGAGCCACCCCGGGGGCCCATCCTTTTGTGTTATTTCAAACTAGATCGATCCGAACATCAGGATAGAGCTGTCGTGTTATGCCTGCAAGAGGCCCGTTCTGGGACTGACTTCAGGGCGGGGCCTGAGTCCCTTACCATCAAGTCCCTTTTCAAGTGGCCTTGACATCTGTCTTCTCAATAAACCAGCTCCTTGATGGGTCTCGGTGCACCAGGTCCTCTGCCCATGTGTGGGTCAGACCCTCATAACGGTGCACTTGTGCCAACGCTCTAGAGACGGTGGCTCTCCCTTTAGTCTCTCTTCCGGGAGTGGCCACACCTGGAGAGCTCTCAGGAGACCAGAAAAATGCCCCCACCTGTGCTAGGGTCTCTGCCCTTGGTAGGGTATTTTCCAGAAAGCAGGGCTCTGCCCAGGGGAAGCAGCCAGGCAGCCATGGGAGCAGGAAAAACCGTGACGTGCGGGGGACAGGTCTGCGTGTGAAGCCAGGCTGTGTGACCCCAGGACCCTGGATACCCTCTCTGTGCTGCAGCTTTCTTGTCTGCAAACAAGGCTTCAGACCCCAGGCCTGCCATGTGGGTATCCAACTTGGCATGGCTGTGTTACTTAGAGGATGGGGACAAAGGGACAGAGTCAGGAATAGGGAGGGCTGAGAGGACGTGGCCTGTCTCTGTGGCCGGCCCTGACCCTGGCCGCTTCCTCCCCCACCCCTCAGGGTGAGGGGGTGCAGCAGCTGCGGGAGGCCCTGAAGATCCTGGCGGAGAGAGTCCTCATCCTGGAACACATGATTGGGATCCATGGTGAGTGGTGACCAGGGCCTGGAGCCAGCCGGACCTGCAGCTGGCCGTAGAGTTGGGAATCCCCTCTGCCCCGGCCTCCACACCCCCTTGCTGCCCTCAGGGCAGCTGCCCCTACCTCTGGTCTGCCTGACTCGATGACCTCCACTTGGCTGCCAGTCGGTCTTCTCCAAACCCCAAGCGGACCCTACCTTGTGCCTCCCCTACTCAAGGACCTTCCGTGGCCCCCTACTGCCCGTGACTGATGTCCAGGCACATCAGGTCCCAAGCCGCTGCCCAGCATGGCCGGGTGCCCAGTGACTTGGAGCCACCACATAGTTCTCTCAGGACCTCCCTCCCGCCCCCCACCTCCACGCCTTTGCTCAGGCCAGACCCTCTGCCCACTGACCACCAGCTCCCACTTCAGGACCTGCTCTAGGGTCTCTCCCTCGGAAGGCACCCTCCTCTCACCCCACGGTGCTCTTCAGAGCCTTGTGCTCCCTGATGGGGGTGGGCTTTCCGCATCTCTCCCTGGCATGCAGCGCGGGGAGCCCGGGCGGGGTCCACATCGGTTGCCAGGTCAGCACTGGTTGCTGGGTGAGCGAGCGAACGCATGAGTGACAGGTGCCCACATGCCCAGGGAGCCTTCTGTGGCCTTGCCCTGTCCTCGCTGGGCACTGGGCTTCCCTCGCCGTCGGGGCGCCCGAAGCAAAGGGGGCCTTTGAAGGCTCCCGAGGCCCTGCGTGAGCCGGCCCTCCTGCTGTCCTTCCAGATCCCCTGGCCTCCCCCGACGGGGGTTCTGGCCAAGACGCTGCCCTGAGAGCCAGCCTGAAGATGAAGCGGGGCGGCTCCCCGCCTGACAGCGCCCTCGCTGCCCTGCTCGGCCCTGACCCTGGGCAGAGGAGCGCCGGCCGGGCCAGCGGTGGCAAGTAAGAGGCCAGCTCTCCAGGACAAGCCCCAGCCCCGCCGGAGACCCGGCCCTGAGGTCCGTGTGGCCCTGCTGGCTCCTGAGGACCCACCAAGGGGGCCTGAGCTCCAGGCACGGACGATCGCAAGAGACACTGGCTCCTGGGGTCTGGGGTGGGGGGCTTGGGGACAGATGGCAGCTCCAGAGGCAGGGTCCAGAGGGCCCCAGCACTCTTGGCAGGGCCCTTTCCTGGTCCCTGCCCTCCCCACCCTCACCTTCTGCAGGAGACGGGGTCTGGGGGGTCTGGGCGGGGCACGAGAATAACCCTAATACTCATCATTTACTGAGTCTGGGCCTGTCCAAGGAGCTTTCCCTGCATTGTCTCATTTAACCCTTAGGAGGTAGGCTTGATATCCCCACTTTCCCTGGGAGGATGGAGGCCTAGAGAGTATGAATAACCTGCCGAGGCCACGGGACCAGGGACAGCTGGGACAGGATTTGAACCCAGGCCTCCTGGATCCTTAACGCTCTACCCTGCCAGCTTCCTGTCTTTGCAGAGAAACTCAGGCTGGGCACAGGGCTGTGGGGGAGGCTGGACCAGCCAGCAGGGAAGGAAGGCAGGGTCCTGGGTCTTCTTCCTCAATCCCCGTCCCTGGGCTTGGGGTCTGCTGCAGGGTCTGGCAGCGCCAGGGACACCCTGAATAAACCCAGGACTTGGGGATATTGAAAGAGGAGCACTGGGGTGGCAGGGGCCTTCCTACCAAACAGGCATCTCCCACTGCTGCCTCCTGGCCTCTGGACCCAGCCAGCCCAGCAGGGCCCTCCAGCCCATGAGTCGAGAGGAGGAAGTAGTTACTGGGCCGGTGCGCCCCGAGGAGGCCATCGCTGGTAGCTCTGCCCTGTCTGGGAATCTCTAGGGCTGGCCATTTCTGGGTCACATGGCAAGTCCCACGTCCCCTTGACCAGCTAGAGACAAGAAAGCTGCCCGCGTCCCAGGCCCCGTTGGAAAGATGCTGCCCCTTCAGGGCTGTGGGCCCAGGCAGACTCCACAGCAGACACCTGGGTCTGGGGATCCCAGAGCAGCTCAGACCACAGGCCTTGGGCCATGGGCTCCCCTGTGACCCAGCCTGGCCCTGGTGCTCCTCTCTTGCTGGGCCAGGACCCAGTCTCAGTAGCAGGCTCGGAGGTTTTGGTGCCACCCCAGGTCATGTCTCCCCTCAGGACTGGAGCCATCTGTCCCCAGTGTCCTTGGGGCTCTTGGGAGGTTGTGGCCAGGCCCCGGTCAGCTCCCCCTGCCCTGTGTGATGCGGGACTGGCTTGGGGGCCGAGGGGCGGCAGTCAGAGGCCAGTGGGAAGTCTAGAATGCTCTGACAATAAAGGTGCTCTCCCCACTGGGGCTCTGGTGTCCTGTGGCGGTGGCTGGTGGGGAGGCCTGGCCAGCCTGGCTCCTGGCCACAAAGATGCAGGTGCGGAGGGAGGTCGGCTCTGAAAGAGTCACATCGAGGGATGGGGTGGTCAGATATGAGGACAGTGCCGCACACATAGCATGGGACACGGCTGCACGCTACAGCAACACGATGGAGGTGGCGGCTAATCTATCAGGGGTCCGGGGAGGGGCCACGGAGGGGAAAAGGGTCTTCGGGGGTCAGTGGGAGTTGGCTAGATGGGAAAGGGCAGTGGAGGCAGGGGGAACAGCCTTAGCAAAGGCTTGGAGTGGGGGCAGATCATCAGGGACCCCTTGTACAAGATGCCGTTGTGCCCAGAGTGTACACACAAGTGCAGGAGGCCGGGCCAGGCCTGGCCATGAGGGCTGCCTCCCCTGGAGGGCTGAGCCCCTTTCTCTTTCTATAGACCACGCTCTCAGCTCACGACCCCTCATCCCTGGCCCCGAGCAACCCCCTGTGTTGGGTGAAGCCTCAGCCAGAGTACAGGGCAGCCTCCAGGGTCCCCATGGGACTGAATGACAAGCCGGGCTATCCACTCTTCAGGGAGGCTGGGCAGAAGGCATCTCCTTCTCCCAGACCTGTGCGGGACCAGCCTCACGAGACTGTCTGCTTTGCCCGCTTTGCCCTGGACACTGAAAAGTGCTGCTCCGGGGCCGTCAGCTTAGGCTCCGTGTGGGCCTCTCCCCAAGCACGCCTCAAGGGAGGGCCGCTTCCCCGCCGACACCTGCGTTCTTCGACGGGGGCTGTCGCTTTGCCCGCACGTGCGCCCGAGGCCTCTGGGTGCAGGACAGCCGCGAGCAGGGAGGTGGGGCTTCCGAGGACGAGGGGCTGGCTCTCCCCGGGGCCGCCCGGTTCCAGAGCACAGCCCTGGGAGGTCAGAATCCCGGAGTCAACCGGGCCTTCCCAGGCCTTGTAAAGGATATCTTCAAAGTGCGAGCACAGAGCGCCTTTTATTTAAGTGGGTTATCTCGACGTGTAACTTTTCAGTATTTAGATGCACGGGAAGACTTCGTCTGCACCCCGGCCCGGGACCCTGCCACCGTAGAAGGCAGAGTGGGCAGCCAGCCCCCAGCGCGGGGGGGCGGGACCGGATGCCCAGGCGCGCCAGGGCCGCCGGAAGCGGAAGTGCGGGAGGGAAGCAGCTTCCGGTAGGAGGCGGAGGGTGGATGCGACCCTTCTGAAATGTGTTGGACGGCGTCGAGGCTTCGGGACGGCGTTTCCCGAGGTTGGCGGCCACAGGCTGGTCCTTCTTAAAGATGAGGCCCGGCACTGCGCCAGACATGAGCGTATGTCACCTGCCTTCAGCGTCGGAGCCTCCTTTCCCATTTTGTGGCGTGTCCGCGACGTCCCCGAGAAGTGGGGCGGCTCGCTCCAGGTCACACAGCGCTTGGTAGTGAAGCAGAGTTTCAGGACAGGCCTGAGACTTGGGGAGGCCGGGCTCGAGGCTGTCGTGGCTCCGGAGGGCAGAGGGGCGTGCCCATTAACCGGGAGACTGAAGCAGGGCAGTGCCAGGAGGGGCAGGTGTGAGGAAGGGCCGGGGCCGGACAAGGAGCGGGAAAGATTCGTGGTTGGGTGGGTGGGGGGCGACAGAAGGAACGCTCACTGGAGGACCGAAGCGGCTGCCACGTGCCAGATCTCGGAGGACCTCAAGTGCTGGAGGAAGGAAGCTGGCCCACAGGGGACCGGCTGTCACAACTGGTTCTCGAGGTCAGTGTGCCCCCTTCCTTCCATCTGGCCCAGAAAACGCTCTTACTGAAACGCAAGCCTGCCTGCGCGGCCTCCTTGCGCAGGAATCTGCAGGGGCTGCCCTGTTCCCTGCCCCCAGCCTGGGCTCTGGAACTTGGCCCTGTCACTAGGGTCCCATCCCCCTGACGATGGCGGCACCAGCCCAGCATGGGGCGGTAGCATCTCTCCTTGGCTGGCCTCTTCTCTGTCTGGCCTGGGGGTGCTGGCTCCCCAGCCACGTGGGGGGCCCCGGGTGCTTGCGGGATTGGTGCGGGGAAGAGGGCAGGTTGGAGGGGGCGTCGCCTGGCGCTTAGAGCCCCAGGGGCAGCAGGGCTCTCAGCTTCAGACGCATTCCCTGCTCTGATTCCTGCAGCCTAACGAGACCAGTTGGGCCTCTCCGGCCTTCACTTCTGTCTGGTATCCTGCGTGTCTTTGGGCTGTGGGTGGAAACTCCCACCTGCGCCTCCTCACTCTGCTTATAGGTACCAGTGTAATGGAGAAGCAGTCCACCCAGAGCCCCCTGCCAGGGTGTCATTGCAGGGCCTCCAGGCCCTGTGGCTGCCCCCTTCTCCCCCCAGCCCCCTGGGGGAGGGCCTCAAGAGCATCAGCCCAGGGAGGAGGAGTGGGAGGGAAGGGAGCTCCCACCCCTGCAGGCCACCCAGGGGTTAATGAGGGAACATTAGCATAGGCGCACCATGGGCACAGATGGGTAGGAACTGCTTGACTCAGGATCTGGGCCCCAGCCCTAGCGGCTCTGTCTTACCCACTAGGCTTATGACCTCTTGTGGGCGAGTCGCATTTGTGCCCCCAGTGCCCTGCTCGGATCACTGCCGTGAGTCACAGGACATTTCCAAAGGGAGAATGGCTCCTTCCCAGACCCTAGAAGGCAGTGACCCAGGTGGTGCACAGGGGGCAGGCGAGCGTCCAACGTGGGCCCAGGTCAGAACAGCAGCCTCCTCCCACCCAATTACCCCACACCTGCAATCCCAACCACCCCCTGAGGTTTCTGGAACACCTCTCTCCTAGACCTGTTTTATGGATCATAAAAAAGAGAATTTCATGAGACTTTCAATTACTTGAATTCCACGGAGATTTATTTCCAATGTTATTAATAAATTCTAATGTCACCTATAACTTTCAATTGCCAGTTAATTAACTTGCAATCGGTGCATTGTAAAAGGCAAATTAAATACTTTTTCAGGCAGGGGCTGGTAAATCTAATGAGCCGGTGTGCCCCGAAGGAGACAGCAGGGCTCACATGTTCCAGCCTCGCCTCCCTCCTTGTTGATGGCTGTGTGGCATGGGCAAGTAGACAGCGGGGTCTCCATGTTCCCGTCTGTAAAGAAGGCTCACAGAAGCAGCTTCCAGACTCCTCGAGTTATCTGGGATTGAAGCTCTTATTTTATTCGCAGAGAGATGCCACCAATAGGTCCCTAATGGTAAGTGGAGTCACAAGTCTTTGCTCTGACACTGCGGGCTGGGTCACTGTTCATGCTCCTGGGGCTGCCGTAACAGACGGCCAGTGATGTATCCTGTCACAGTTCTGGAGGCTAGAGGCCAAAATGTAGGTGTCGGCAGGGCTGTGCTCCCATGGCAGGCTCTCAGGGAGAATCCGTTCCTTTTCCTTTCCAGCTTCCAGTGGCTCTGGGCATCTCTCGGCTGGTGGCTGCCCCGTCCTTATTCCCTGGATCTCTTATAAGGATTTGTCATTGGATGCAGGGCCCATCTGGGTAATCTGGCAATCTGAGTCTCAAGATCCTTGCCGTAATTATAGCCTCAAAGACCCTTTTCCCAATAAGGTCACATGCAGACGTTCTAGGGTTGAGGACTTGGGACATACAGTTTGGAGGCTATTATGACAGTGACCTTGGGCCCCTTGGGCCCGTCATTTAACCGCCTGGGGCTCCGTCTTCCACCACGTCAGAGAGCTGAACTCCCTCCCTGGGGCAGACACCTCCCCTGTGTCAGGCGCTGTCCCAACAGTCATAGGGATGGACTCAGGCAACCCGGCGGCTTCGTCACCCTTCATTTCGCAAGGGAGCAAATGCGGGCAGGAGGTTAAGTGACTTGGCTGCGGTTGCCCAGGTCAGGATTTGAATCTGCCGTCTGACCCTGCAGCTTACACTCCCTGTTCCGTAACTGAGCTTTTTATTATTATTATTAAAACATTTTATTTATTTATCTGACAGAGATCACAAGTAGGCAGAGAGGCAGACAGAGAGGGAAGTAGGCTCCCTGCTGAGCAGAGAGCCCGATGTGGGGCTTGATCCTAGGACCTTGGGATCATGACCCGAGCCGAAGGCAGAGGCTTATCCCACTGAGCCACCCAGGTGCCCCTGTTATTACTATTGAGCTATAATTCACATACCATTCAACTCACCCATTTTGGGTGTCTAATTCAGGTGCTTTTGGTGTATTCAGAGTCGTGCAATCGATTTTAGGATATTGTCATCACCCCAAAAGAAACCCTGTATTACAACTCAAGCCATTCCCCAGTGCCCCCCATTCCTCCCACCCCTAGGCAACCACTGACCGGCTATCTATGAATTTGCCCATTCTGGACATTTGACATCCTGAAATCCTACGCTGTGTGATCTTTTG